CTTGGAAGGAGAAAATGGCTGTCGTGAGCATGTCCATGGCTGATAGTGCTGCTGTGTGAAGTCAATACTGATTAAGTCAAAGATCTGACCTGATGAAATATCAACTGGGCTGCCTCGGGACTTATTACCATGAAGTAATTAGTCCGTCTCAATGTGAATTCAGCACAGCGGTCCTTAAAAAATGACGACATCAACTATAATGAGAGCGTGATGTGCATTTCAGTGTGAACGTCAGTCCGTGGTGACTTATGGCCTTTGAAGGATGAGAAAAAGTCAACATGACAGAACTGGGAAGATTGCTGTGGAGATCACAAGCAGAGGGCAGCTTATTTAGTTTGAGGAAACCACACATTTATCCCAGTTTTCCTGTCGTCCGTGCGTCAGTGTCAAGACTGACACTCAGTTGATGTGACTGACACATGATGCTTGAGGTCTGAAACTTAAAAAAAAAAAGAAACTCTGATGCCTGAAAACACACTAGATTAAAAAAAACCACACTTGAAATAAAGATTAAAGTGAGAAACAGGGGTCAGATGAAAAGGAAAACACTCTCAGGCCTGGAGCGACAGGTTGAATAGAAACACTGGCTGATGAATACACACAATGACATTATTAACAACAAACTGCAAATAGTGTCAAAACTCAAAATCTGATTAAACTAGGATTAATGCTTATTGTTTTCCTCACTTATACTCACTGCTGTAGTGCTGTAGGTAAAGGTCTAATGATACGTACAGGGGCATTCGCCACACCTAAGGTTGCTTTCACACATACATCGCTTTGTACAGACCTTCTGACTTTTTATTTTAGCCCGAACTACAATAAGAGGTGTGAAAAGTGCCTCGGACATCAGTTAGGACCAGTGGACCAAAACTTAGTCCGACCACAAGAGGTGGTATCAGACGATATCAAACGATGGTTTATTTGTAGTGTGAAAACACTTGAGACAGCATTAAACAATAGAAGAAGAAAAGAGGAAGCGGCTTGTCTTGCTTGCAGTCTAAACCTCCGACGATATAATGTCTGAATTATGCATTTGGTGCATTGGAACGAGTGTGGAATACTGCGCCGGATGTTTGTGATGCTGGTACTAAAACCATAATGATATTACAACGGCAACCGAATTAACCTAATGAACCAGTTCATTATTTTTCTCCATTCAAATAGAACGACTACAACTGACAACATGACGACGTCAGACGCACACCTGTCTACAAACCAATCAATGTCAAGTATAGGAAGATACAGCCCACGAAGCTGATGACAGGATGTACGTATGTCATAAAAAAATCTTTGGTACTTGGTTCTCTATTGTTGTTTGGACAGAGAAATTCAAGGTAGCAGCTTGAGCTCTGGCAACATGCAGGATTTTTTCCCCATTTCATAGATAAAAATGTTATTAATAACTATTGAATTTAGTTAGTTGATGCCTGAGATTTGCCAACTGTGATTTACTTGTGTTGATTCTCAATGATTAAAAAATACAAGTTGTTAACTCAAGATGAAGTCCAGCAGGAGGTGAGGACATTTTTTCCTGGGGGACTCAATCTCTTTGTGACTCTCTCCGAATCGCTGTGACATCAGCCTCTCTTCTCTCTCTCTCTCTCTTCCGCCCTCCCTCAGCACCAATCACCCACAAAGGGATTAAAGCTCTTTACAGAAACACCATAATCGGGCTGCTCTTTAATCTCTCGACATTTTCTAAACTCTAAAAATGTTACGGCTGCAGTAATGTCTCTACCATCACTCCCTGTGGTTTCCATGGACACAACGGAGACATCCATCAGTTTGTATTACTTCACTGTACAGTGCGGTGTATGCACAACGTAGTTCAGGTTAAATTCATGATTTTCATGCTCAGTCTTATTGGACAGAATGTAAAATTCAAACATAGTTACAATATTTTGCCTTAATTTGCTCCCATCATATTGTTAAAAATAAATATTTCTACTAAAAATAGCATAAAACCATGAAATGAATAAATCCTGGAGTCATGAGAATATCTGTTACAACTCTCTAGCTCTTACTGCAGCTTCACATTCACAGTCAAATTAAATCAGTCTGCGACACAAACTCTTTGCTTATGCTGAGGATGATGCTGTTTATGTCTGTGTCAATGGCTTCTACACCCTCTGTATTCAAAGGTTTTTATTCGGGGTCTAAATTAAGTTCCAGGGAAAGAAATCTCTGCTGGGGGTGTGGTACTATTGTAGGTTAATCTCTGCAACAGCTCCAAAAGTATCTTTCCTTACCTCAAGTTGAGTATTTTGAATGTTATATATATGTTCTGCTGCAAGTCCTTGTCTCTTAAACAGGGGTAGGAATTGAATCTCAACCAAGCTTACTGTTGTTCTAGTTTGCTCGATTATATAAATGTCATTCTTGTTGTGTAGTCTTCTGCATTACCGCCTCCTCAGGCCTTTAAAATCTCACTTCAGAGAGACTGTTATTAGAAAAAAGTTGAGATAGTGGAAATATATGAAGCCAAACAGTTTCAGAATATAATTCTCAAATGCTCATCTTCCAAAAACCAATAAAGGTCATCATAGAAATCATCGAGCTTCCAATTTTGTGCATGGTCTCTCTGAATGACCCTGTAAAACTTTGCACCTCAGGAAGAACTGAGTGAAAATGGTGGGTTAAAGAAAGGGATGACACTGTGGAAGAAGGGCACAGTGGCCTTGCAGCTCAGCTCAGCGTAAACCTGGGCGAGAATACAAAAGGAGCCCAGGTGGATCCTGGTTGGACCAGGTTTTGACGGCTCTTTCCACAGGGCAGAGCACAGCTGATGAGAAAGATTCAATTATTTAGAGTCATCCTTCAGAGTCTGGGCAGCCTCTTTCAGGCCTGAAGCCACACAAGCACACACACACGCAGACATACAAAGAAGAGAGGACCTACTGAATGTTTGAACACCGCTCCGTGATTTTTCATTTGTTTTTCAGTAAATGTTCACCGGGACGAAAAATAAAATATAAGGATACCATAAAATTCACAGTGTCAAACTAAACAAATCGAAATGTCCATCAACATTTAAATAATGAATTAATGTCAGTCCAAGGTTTAGGCCAGAACTGTTTTTTAAGGCTTCATCTTATAATTATTTTACCATCATTATCCGATTTTATGTATTTATCTTTATTATCTTGAATCTAAGCTTATCTCTAATCTATCCAGTCCCTCCTCCAAGATTTGATCATCATTGCACAAATCAATATTTTTATCATGTGAGCCCTCTTGCTTTTTCAGTTTCTGTTATTCTCAAGCACTTTGGGTCAACTACTATTGCTTTTAAATGAGCTATATCAATAAATGCAACTTAACTTGACACATTTACAGACACTAGTTAATTGTTAAAATTTTTTCTGCAGCTTGATCTCCAACGACACAAACAGAGACCACTGCAGTGTAAGATTTAACATCCAAATACTGACTGTAAAAGCAGATAAAATCTCCAATATAGTTCCACCCAGGAATTATAGAAACCTTTGCAGGAACTCCGTGTTTCCACAAAATAGACAAGGGTCTAAATTAAGTTCTGGGGATATATATCCCCAAAAAGCTCCTCACACTGAGGTTTCAGATCTTAAAATTGGAGAAAATATTTGCACTGGCATTAGAGCATTCCTTTTTGGCCAAGAGTATCAGTATAATTGGAGAAAAGGGTCAGATCAGTGCGTCCCCATTTGTCAGTGTTAAGTGGTAAAAATATTCTCCAGTGTAACAAATCTCTTTCCCTCAGCACTCATGATAAAACATGGGAAATTAGTCTGCAGAACTGCAAGTGTAAACAAACTGACCACAGCTTACAAATCAGCATTATTTCAGTATGGTTACACCCACCAAGAGGCTTATCCCATAGGAGGTAAAGGAGGGGAAAAGTTCATTTTTGGGCAAATTATTTGGGGTCGGCTCATTCTGCTAAAAAGGATTGAGAGGAAAGAGACAGAGAGAGCAGGGAGGATGAGAAATTATATGGGAGCGGATCAGCACATCTATCACTGTCGCTGTGCTAAGTTACAGCTCGAGTGGAAATCACAGAGTTTGACTCAAGTCGGACTTCAAGGACACAAATTCTTCCGGCAGGCTGCGGAGGTGGGTTGTCACTTAGAGGACAGATAATATTGTCAGAGCTGAATCTGAAAATGCAGACGAGGCGAAGCCCATAATGCCGTCTTCAGGAAAGGGTGCTTAGCGTAGTTTGGGTCAAAAGTGTATTCTTATACCATCCAGAAAACTTTCAGAGGAGAAACCCTCTAAGAAAACAAACTGTAGAGTGTACGATACGATGCTCCCCACCTTCTTTAACTAGCAACATGGGACCTACTGTAAATTAAGATGGACGACATGTCTTTACTTCCTCCCACTATCCAGAAATGGAAATATCTTGGACGCCAATGATGTTATTTGGAGCCAGAGTCTGCGAGGGAACGATTGTGGAGTCTCAGTATCGAGGTCCTGCCGATAAATGTGCTCAAACACTCTCAGCTGTCAATCGTGGCGCCATCCACTCCTTTCGTGGGTCACGCCCCAGCTCTTCACAAAATGTCATTGATATTGTTTGAGTAGTTTTTGTGTAATGCTACTGACTAACAAAATGATGCAGATGAAAACAACTCATTGTTGGAAGTAACAAAGAGACTGTTCCTTTCTATTCTCAACATTTTTGAGGGAATTTTGATAGTTTAAAAAGTACAGGCAGCGGTTTGCGGTATAAAAAAACGAAACATTGGCCGATTCATGGAATGAACATAAATTAGATACAGCTCATAAAATCTGCTGCAGTGAGTCGTCATTTAAACTACGAAGACTGACCAGTTCCCAATTAAAAATGTGAAGTCTGGCATTTTAACGTTGTCTTAAAAGTTGAGCTCATTTGACCAGTTGCTGTGACTGGAAAGAAGGAGGTGAGTTACAGGTCAAGTGTCTTTTAGACTTACTGAGCGAGAAAGTGAGGAAAAGGGAGGTGAATGTTGCTGTGACAAGGAATCAGGACTTACCAGGAACACCCTGTAGGCATCTTTCCTTGTGACGGAGCCCCAGCACAGGTCTGTGTCGTTGTACTTGACGCTTCCAGCGCTGCACGAGTGGTTTCCACTGCACAGGAACACAAGCACAGACAAATATAGCTTAATGTTTCACCACTTTCACCTTATAAAACTGATGCACACACCAGATTGTCCCTATTGTTCATTTAAGCCTTTTCTCTGAACTTTCATCACATTACATTGTCCTGTAAAATGTCTCGGTATTATCACAATCAGGAGACAGATCCGCTGAAGGAAATGCTAATGCAGGTAAACTTAAAGGGTATGATTTAAAAGCAATCCTGAACTCTATCATTGCTGCGTGACAAAGTGGGGTGGTGCTGCCCATGCTACAAAGAAGTCTGCAGTTTGTGCCTTCAGGCGAACAAAACTCCTTCTGAAGTCTCAGTTACGTCTCACATTTATTCTTGCTGCAATATGAGCGAGGGTTTGACCACGGTGGAGGAGAATTTAATACGATAAGACAGCATCAGTGTGCTTTGCCCGAGGGCAGGATGAGGTACAACAGCTTTGTAAAAAGACAACAATTGTAAAAAGAGGACAGAGTGACTTTTCTAACTTAAAATCACCACTGTCATTTTTTTTTTTATTATGAATTGATTCAGCGAAGCAGGAAATGAGAGAAACGTGTTTTAATTCTTGTGCAGGGTCAAATGATAAGGGTCTGTTTACAATAGAAGATGTTTCTTTTATGTTTAACAGAAGATCTACAAAGAGAGTTAGCTTTTTGTCGAGGTGGGGTTTGTGATCTATACTCCAGCCAGCCACCAAGGGGCGATCAAGATGATTTGGCTTTACTTTTGGAAGCTGTCACGTCATCCATCTTTATTTATAGTCTATGGACTTAATTTGGAAATACATCTATTTCTGTAATGAAAGCATGTGATGTTTAGTTCCAGTTGTGCTGTTTTTAATTATATCTATATGTGGTTAGGAAATCTCATAATAATACTTTGATTAGCTCTGTATTTCAAGAGCAGGAATTAACAACGACTGTTAATTACCTGCAATTATATCAGTATTTTAATGATCTTTCAGACGTCAATAAGATCAGTAAATCATAAGTTCAGCTGCATCAAAACAAAGAGATGATGAGAGGGAGCAGGAGAAAACAGCAGCAGAAAGACTCACAGCACTGATACGATTACATTTCTAAGACAAAATCGACTTCAGTCCAGAGAAGCATATTAGATCCATATCAGAGAAGACAAACACCTGTACCTGTACCGTATATATATATATATATATATATATATACCTCCCTATATATATACAGTATTAAGTATAAACATTTAATACAGTGTGCAAAAGCTTTTGAAACTGTCTGAAACTATAAAAAAACATCCCTGTCAGAAAGTTTAACCATCACACACTAAAAAAATCATCTCCCTAAAAACAATACTAAAGGGGGAACAGCTATTTCTGTGGCCAGGCTCTGAAGGGTAGAGTCTGTAACTATATGAAATACTTTATTCTCACTCCGTCTGGCCAACAGACTTGCAATAAAAACGTTTCTGGAAGCAAGTCAACATGACTCAGACGTCGGGAGCACCAGTTTGAGGTCAGCAGGCCTAAAGGCCTCTGTCAGCAAAGCTTTATTGTCTCAATCTGGAGTTCAGAAGGTGAAAGTAAGAGCACAGGAGCCAACAAGACAAAGAAGGATGTGCCAAAATGGAGATTAGCAAATGTTCCAAATGTTCTTGAAGGAGTACATCTATATAATCCAATTATATATATAATTTTATTTCACAATAAAACAGAGAATAGATGAGATAAAGTGAGCAAATTGGTCTTACCAGGCAACTTCCATTAATGATAAGGGCACAGCTGCTGCGTAGATGGCCAAGTCTCCGTATAGATAGACTATGATGCAGATGTAGAACATATTGACACCGACTGAAAAACAAGAATGAAAAAGATAAAGATATGATATATGGTATATACAGCATGTATAAAGTTATTAAGATTGATCGACGGATAAAAATTCCACTGAAATCAAGGTTCATGAAGCAACTTGAAGTTAACAAGGTTACAAACAAAGATGTTTTTCATCTTTGTCAGTCGTCTAGGGGCTTTGCCACAGGGTAGACAAAGCAGACAATTAACTTGCTCCCAGAGCTGAGAGGTGGCCCTTCGGAGAACAGCAGACTGAATTAGCCCATGGCAATGACAATTTTGTGAGATTCCCTTGCGCCCCCCACTGAAAACAGACCTGTGGACAACCTCCAACTCTCAGAGAATTGTCTGAAATCTAAAATAAAAAACATTACATTTTAAACATTCATCTTTCGTAGCAGAAAGTCAAGGCCTTTGTCTTCTCCCTCTTTACATTGTACACTTGTGATGAAATTCACCAGGTCCCTGTTGCCTGGGGCCCACAAAGTCTCTTGAAACCCTCCTGGTCTTAAAGCTTGGTCATCATATGTGGCAGGTGGACCATGATCCCTCCATCGATTTTCTGGGACATTGCAGTGGTCCAATGATAAATATTATTTACATTCATTTTTAAAAAGTAATCACTACATGAAGGAAATCTACGTCAGCCATTGCTCTTCACAGCAACAAGCTCTTTACCAATTGCCCCCCCCTCATCCACACACTCGACTGACAGGCCAGGCACACAGCTGCCTTTGCCAAGCCAAGATGGAAAGCTCTCACCAGCAGACATCATCATAGAAAGCCACACATCCATCAGGCTCTTGAATTCTCAGAAGAGAGGGGGGGGGGGGAGGGGTTCAACCGTCCAACCGGACCCCTCAGCTAATTCATTACTACCAAGGAAATTAGAGCATAGAGTCCATTAAAAAGACATAAAAAGTGGCAGATTTACAGCTTTTCAGGCTACACTGATTCCTTTATGAATAAAGGGCTGGGGGTGCCTATCAAACAGTAGCAAACATACGGAACTGGCAGCCTCATAAACAACCATTCATTCAGTTGTAAAAAAAAAAAAGAAGCTGTTAATAGATTCACAACAAAAAAATCCACCATTAGAGAATGGAGGCCAGGAAATTAGCTGGTGCTTTAACTTGAGGTAAAACTAATGATTCATTTTTAAATCAGCCAATCTGGAGAACAAGACTGGATTTATGGTCAGCACACGGGTGAAAACTGCATCAGTGTGATTTAAAAGAAGACTAGATGATTTTTGGGGGTAGTTTATTGATAACCTTTCTCAATATGCTAAGTAAATGGTTTGTATTCATACAGTGCCTTTCTAGTCTTGATGACCACTCACATTCATAGAGTGTATCTGTAAGAAATCTGGGGTTTCGGCATGCAAATGGAGAAGACTGGGAATTGACCTGCCAACCTTGTGGTTGGAGGACAACCGCTCTACCCCTCAGCCACAGGCAACCAAAGTATAACAAGGATGGTAGATTGTTCAGCAACTAAAAGGTGCAACGCAGACATTTATTTGTGCATAAGTTTAGTGGTGAAGCGATTCATGGAATATTGGTTAAACTTGAGCAGCATGATGCAGAGGCAACATGACAGCTCCCAATGAAAAGTGATGCCAAAATCAAGGTTCTAATAAGTTTGCTTTTAATTTTATTATTTGATGTTATAAAAACCGGCTGATTGGCAGGTAGGTCTGCCTCAGGACTGGTCGTGTGCGTGTATCACCAGGACCTCAATACTGCGACTCCACACCACGATCACTACTTCACAGACTGTGGCTCCAAATGACATCATTCGGGCCAGATGGCATCATTGTATTCAATATGTTTTAGATTCATTTCTGGACAGTAGGAGAAAGTAGAGTTGCATAGCTCATCTTTATTTACAGTCTATGTTTTTGCCAAATTCAAATATCTGAACTCAACATCACCCAGTTATTTGGAGAGTGACCTGATTCACAAAATAACACAAACACTCTGACACAAAACTATATGTCTTTGAAAAAAAAAACTGTTTTCATTTGAACCTGAATAAATATATGAAAATTTTGTTTGTGCTCCATTAAATTATTTCATAAGAACAAAATTACAGTGGTTAAAAATATTGTTGTTATAATTATTGTTGGTTGTATGATTCATGTTCCAGACAAGCTGATAATGAGAATGTCAATGAGAATACACAAATCCCTCCCTTCGCTGCATTCTCAGTCTCGTGTGGCACAACATGGACGAGGCACATTAGTGTCTCAGTGGCAGACAGCAGAGACGGGACGTACTGTACTCTGCTGGCAAGGCGAGAGCGCAGCGTGACCACAGGGATGCAGGCCTTCACCACGATGTAACTAATATTTCACGTTTAACCGAAGCTACAGGGACAAAATGCTGCAAATGTGGTGTTTGCGCAGAACCCCAGTGTTTGATAGGGCTGTGAAAATGCAGAACTATCCATCAACACCGACTGACAGCGGACTTGACAACCTGGCTGTGAGGAGCGGCAGGAAAAAGACACTATTTAGTTAAGTGCACAACAGGGAGAGGCAGTTTTATTAGCGTGTAAAGACTCGACGCTATTGATTTACTGCCACAATTTTATTATATCATTAGAATAAGACAATACGTAAGTAACTGTGATGTAAGGCAAGTCTTTTTTGGTGACAATTGTCTCATTTCACCTCATTTACAGTCGTCTCCTTATATTCAAATTCTGCCTCTTGTGGGAACGTCAGAGTTTAAATCTGATGAACTGAGATTAAAAAATCTAATCTAAATTGAGCCTGTCTCAGATGTGGCAACATCATTAACAATTGGTCTCCAAAAACAAGTAAATAGGTCAGGGCGTAATTAGAAATGGATCATTTAAGTCTACCTTGTCGACAAAGCAAGTCTGTGTGACAGAGGAATCATTAGAGTGAATCTGTCCGACTGTGAATTCACTTTTGTAAATCGAAGGATTACAGGGAAAGAAAACAAAACTTCAGAATTTAGTCAGAGCCAGACCACCATTGGATTTTTTTTTCTTCAAGGTACGCGGATTTTGCAGCTGATAAATCCGGCACTGTTTATATTTACTTAACTTTTTCTTATGTCTTCATCTGCGTCATAATTTTAATTTGCAGAAAGCAGCTCCAAGGTTCATTTTTCACATCAGTTGTAGAAATATGTGGCAGTGACATACTGCGTTGTGGCCTCATTCATGTTTGTTGTCATTACACATTGGGCATGGATACTGTGTGATAGACAGCTAGTGATGTTCAATTGGTGCAGGTCGCGGGTAAAGATGGGTGTTTAGTGTCCTCGAGCTCTCAGTCAGGCTCCACCCCCCACTCCTCCAAATATGGTTACTTCCGGTTGATGGCACTGGACAAATTGCCAAACTCGAGGCTACAAAATGGAAATTTAAACACCAGCGGTAGACGTAGCGGTGGGTTAACACTTAAAACCATCGCAAATGTGTTGCTTTGTCTACATTGGCAATACCAATTCTTAGATAGAAGAAGAAGAAGATTTACTTTTATTAACCTTTTTTTTTTACACACTATTACATGCATACATGAAATTCATCCTCCGCATTTAACCCAGCCAGTTGGCACCTGTCGAAACATGCACATGCATAGGGACACACAGACAGATGCCATGTACACATATATACTGGAGTAGTGGCCTGCCGTTGTCAGCGCCCGGGGAGCAGATATTGGGGGGAGGGGGGCGGTGCCTTGCTCAAGGGCACCCCGGTCATCAGCTGTCAGTCCATCAATTTTTTTTTGAACAGCGGGAGCAAGGATCGAACCGCCAACCTTCCGGTTATTGGACGACCTGCTTTTAGTTTTCATGGAGCGTACTTCCTTCCTGAGACTAAACTTATGAAATCCATTTGTTGGTTTGATCATGGCTGTAGCCGTTATAACATACTCCCTGAAATTAAAGTACATCTTTTATGAAGCTGACACTGAAAACTATTATAGCAGTGGCTTATGGAAAATGATTGGGCTGCAAGCTGAAGCAAACATGTCCATTTATCTTCCCAGAGGCTCGGGCACTCATGGATTCGTTTTGCCAGTGCTCTCAATGCACAAGTATGACATTTAAGTAAAAGTCACTGAAGTATTAAAAATGGATGTGTCCATGTTTGGTTCTCATTAGGAGAGCCTGGGTTAAAGCAGAGTGAATTAGTATTCGCTGCCGTTGTCCTCCGTATGTCAGGGGAAGGAGAGCTCATGTTGAAGAAACGAGCCAGTTGTTTGCACAGCCACTGTGTGAACCGCCACATCACGTCACACGAGGTAAGAAAAGCTGAGACAAGATGCTGATGCAAGGACGGCGTTCGAGCGTTCGTTCTCTTTGTGACTTTAGCCAAAGTCGTCTTCTAATCAACTTTCAAATCATCAATGTGAAGGTTACAGTAACACCTTTCCACAGTGGTGCGAATAAACCAGCCCCCCCATCAACATTCCTGTCAGTGGCTGCAGGTCAGGCTGATACGACAGCCATGGCCTTATTCCAAGTCTGCCGCACCGCTGCTGCTGCCGTTGCCACATCAATTTCAGCACAGGAGGAAGTCAAACGCCCTCTAAGCAGGAGAGATGCTTTTAATTGCCTGCGAAGGTGCAGGACAGAAAGACAGTGGGCAATCACGCCCCCAGTTTATTACCTGTGAAGAGTTGGGAGGTGGTGTTTAAACTGTTTTAATGTCCTGTGAATCTAGCAGAGGAAAATAGACTTGTTTGACTCTTTCCTGTCATTTAGCTCCTAAAATGCATGAAGAACTAGCTGCAGTTTGCCCCCACTTATTTCGTGGTTATCGAATGTTCACATCTGTCTCCTGACAAGCAGAATCATTCAGGGAAGATTCCTGGAGATTGTTTGGATTAAATTGTCCCTTCAAACAAACTGCACAGCTATTCACTTAAAAAGAGGAAAGATTTCCATTTTGATAAACTATCCCAAAAAACAGTTTTCACGCTGCAAGCAAACCAAACCATAGTTACTTTTGATCTAGACAAAGACCACCTCTTTTGGTCGGACAAGATTTTTGGTCTATTGGTCCAGATCATGGACTGGTTCGGACTAAACTGAAAAGTCAGAGGGTCCAGACCAAACTAGGAAGGTGTGAAAGTGCTCTAAATGATGACAAACAGGCGTGTGGACAGACGGAAATGGCCATCACGATAGCACCCCCATTATTTGCCAGGAGTGATAAAAAGGTTCAATGGTCTGGTTAGCGATGTAACTTTGTTTTTAACTCATTATATGATTTAACAGTTTGCAATTTGCAACAAAATGTTCCCAATTTCAAAATGTCAGGCACCGCTTAAAATATATACTTGTTTGAATGATTTGAACTGTTTATATGTTCTGTGAGGGATTGAAAACCTGTATCATGTTGTCACTGGGATGAAGCTCAGGTATCATATCATTACTAGATTTCAGTTGTGCTAACAAATTGCGACCAGCTGGTCGGAGTCTGTCATGATGCATCTCCCCTTTCAGCGTCTGCTGGGACCAGAGCCTATCTCATCCATCTAGGATTCACCGCGCCACTTTCCCATAGCGTGGGGAGAGTGAGAAGAGAGAAAACTCATTTCCTTATTAACAATCGATGCCAACACGTGCCTCACCTGCACACTGTCCGTTTCATGCTGGGAAAGGTCATCAGCAAAGATCTTTTTTTTCTTTAACAGGCTGGAGAGTGGAGTGAATGAGTGACGAGAGGCTGAATGGACAGGAGCACACTGCAGCTTTGACAGACTGAACCGCATGACGACATGCACGAGTGCGTTCACACGTGTGGGTGTGAACACAAGCTGAGTGGACCTGTGGGTCTGTCGTGTGTGTGCGCGCCGAGTGCTCCACCTAGCGTCGCCGTGCAGAACGACAGAAAGTGTCGGCTCAGATGATGTTGTCACAGCTTTGACCTTTCACTGTTCCTTCATTCCTTCAAACTGTTGAGTCACCTTAAGAAGAGCTGGACGGCATAATGCAAGCAGACAAAGCCAGAGCAATGTGCTGATAGAGAAGAGGAAGGTGAAGCCAATATGTTTATCTGTCTCTGGTTCAAGGTGAATTTATTTCAATATGTCCTCGCATGTTAGAAGACGGTTCATTAGATCCCAAGTCATTGTAGTGGAAGCTTTACTATCATTTGCCACAAGCACAGGCAGTAACACCCCCGACACACAGACATTCACACATACACACACACAGTGGGAAGATTAAAAGCCTTGATGGGGTCTGAAACAAGTAATTACAACCAAAGGCAATTAATCCATATACAATTACATCCAATTAAACAGCCAGCAGCCTTCCTCTGTGAACGGACATAAAAAAAAATTAAGAAAACCTTTTTGGATTCATCCCACACAACCTTCACGACTCCTCCATAAATGTTACACATGGCTAACGACGGCGGTGTCTGCAGTTAATTGAAAAACGCCATGAGAGGAGAAGCTCGAGGCCAGAGGGATATTACCTTTGTTGAAGAACATGGACGCCATTTGGCCCATCTCCACCCGCTCCACGATGTCGAAATGATCGACGTGACCTCCTGACCTCTCTGTGAAAACACATCCGCAGTAAATTACCAGTCGCAGTGGAGCCACTTAAGTGTCAAGAAATTATTTTAAAGTATATACAAACATATATATCACAACACAAGTGTGAATAATCTTCCGATAGATTAAGTGTTTCAGCATTTCAGTAATTACTGCTGAAAAATGGTGAGATTAGATGGCACCAGCAGTTCGTTTTAGAGGAATATTTTTTTAAATGGATTAGTCAGCAGAAAAAATATAAAATTCACTGTCAACCATTGAGTAATCAATCCCAGAACTAAAATGTGTGAATTTATTGCTTTTATTCTTCTAAAACTTATACTTAAATTCATATTTTGGGGGTTTTGGTCGAGCAAAGACAAACGTGGAGATTTCAGTTTTATTTTCTCATGTTTTACTTTTATAGAAGAATAGAGATAAATAATGAGCAGTTTCATTTATGCATGAAATATTTGTTAGTTGTGTTCTGTTTATTTATCCATATGATATTTGAACAGCAATAACATATGTTCTGATGATCAACATTCAATCTGATGAGTCTTTTACGAACATTTTGTTATAAATTATGAAAACTCTTATTGTACAGAATAAACAAGGCAGAATATATTTAATGTATTTATGTTTACATTTTATATACAAATATTTTTATTGTCTTTATTCAAGTTCTCTTTGCTTGTATTTGTGTTGTTGAAGTTTATGTAAGTTTATGAAGTCTATTCTTTTTCATAATGGTTTGATATTGGTTGGGCTCTAATCTTAAACATTTCAAAACATCTCATAAAATGTTTTAATGAAAACGTTTTACACACACTAACTAAAAGCGCTGAGTAATTCACTGTCTCTGCATCACTTCATCACACTTCAACCTCAGCAGTGATGGATCAGAAAACTGTTTCCTGAAAATGCTGGTGTTTCGTCTGGTGGACTCATTATTTCAGTTTTGTTTGTTTGTCAACACTAGCACTAATGTATCGACTGTTAACACTGATACTCACGAACAGACAAGATGGGCTTTGTCTCCGGCTCTGATCGACCTCGACCCACAACATCATCGTCCGAATACTCAGAGGTGGAGTCGCTGTCGTCGATCTGAGGGGGATGATAATGATGCTGATTATGATGCGAGTGTGTGGAGCTCTATTTTACCTCTTTTCCTAATTTCTCAATATAAACCGCAGTGAGTTTACAACCTTTGAACACGGTGTGTATTTGCTATGTATGTGACACAGGGGAAGGCGACATCTGGAAATCACAAGCAACAGCTGGAAAGCGCTCTGGAGAATGGAGGACCTCGCAGTTCGCATCACGTGCTCACATATCACTTATCATTTGTCTCCAGAATAATATCACTGACCGTCAGTGAACGTTGTGATCAGCTGAGTGAATACAAGATACTTTGGCTGAGACACGAGGAGCGATGGCGGCAGCTAACAGCTCTGTGACAGAGCGGCATGGAACAGAGGCAGCCTGACAAACCGCCACATTAATGTGTGCAGCTATGGATGAGACTCAGACGAGCATCTACCGAGAGACAAAGTCAGACCTACCATCTGGAAGAAGAATTTCAACACCAGGCGTTAGAAATGGTTTTTATTATTTAGCATTTATCTTCATTCTTATATATATTACTTGACCTTATTAAGTGTAATGGTTTCCATCCTGTTCCAAACTTGTAAAGCACTTTGTAACTTTGTTATGAAAGGTGCCATACATATAAGTTATTATTATTATTATCGTTATTATCATTATTATTACTATCAAAAACATCATAAATAGAATGTGTATTTACATGGGACCAAATGGGGCACTTCAACACAGCAAACTGTTTAAATAACAGTTAATTCAAGGAAATGTATTAGGAGATAAATACCCTCAAAATAGAGCACTTTTTTTTTTAGGTAATTCCAATTATTATTATTATTATTATTATTTTGAAGAGAACTTTTCTCGGCCCATGTTGGAGTGTTATGAAAGTATATAGTTGCACTTTGCTTATACCTCCAGTAGAGGACATAGTCTACAGCCAGTGCTGAGCATAAAAAACCTCATTCAGCTGTAGATTAAAAACATAGTCACGGTCGGGGGCTCCTGTAAAGATCTTTTCCCATCAGATGACCTGAGTTCAATACTGTTCTTCCAGGTTCTCTGCCGTTGACGTAATAATAATATTTCTGTTCAGAGGCTTAGCTCGAGCTGAGAGAAATAAAAAGCATTCAGCGGGAAACATTTCCAGTTTTCACCGCCTCTTGTTTTCCATTACGTGGGAGGGTAAATGCTGAGAGGAGTCCAGGAGCCATGAATCAAGGCCGAGTGTTTAGGGCTCAGGCGATTGTCCACAGGCTCGTAACTCCTCAACTGGAAACCCACTGGCATTAAGCAAGATGGCTTCTGCACCGTGGGAGACACAAAGTCTTTTTCTTGTTCAAAGTAAAAATGATTGAAGAATGCTCGGTAATCGAGTTGAGTCCTAGGTGTTCTGTAGACGTGTGGCAGGAGGCACATTTCACTTGTGCTAGAACTGAGCTATAAAACACACTCTGCTAAATAAAATTCTAAAATATATAGTTTATACATTAAAAACTTTTCCTTTTGGGATTTTCAGTCATAGAAGGTGAAAGTTATCCACAACTTTGGATCAATACAACAAAGCAAATGACAAAACTGAGCCTGTGCGATATCGCCCTCTATTGTTGAGAAGTAATGCGCACAGACTCACTGGCATTTACCTGTGTAATAATTTTTCTTTACCATTTTAATATCTTATATGTGCATATGTTCTGTTTGTATATTACTTTTTATTTATACTTTATTATATTTTCTCATTTTTCCATTCTGTTCACCTATTTATCACTTTTACTTCTGGAACAAGGCAATTTTTTCCCATAGTGGGACTAATAAAGGATTATTTTATTTGATCTTATCGATTGCAGACCTGCCATTTACCACATGCTTCAGGCATAAATCCAGCTTTAGCTGAAGTCAACAGTTCACTGACGACTATAAGTGAAGTTGAATCTGTGATCAGCTGCTTTAGCATGCAGGGTTTAAACACCATGCAACATTTATTGAACAACAGCGCCCTCTGCAGTCACACTTGGTGATGGCGTGATTTTAAATAGGTCTATATATACAGTCTGACTGCATGGTCCCACTAACTGAACTGAATAACAACTGAACAATGAATATTACCCACGATCCCCGGCTTCCTGAACCAGACTAGCTGCTATTGTAACAAACACCAAACTGTTGAGGATTCTTCACATATTAAAAGTTTCCTTGCAGAATATTGGAGATAAACACTGGTTTTAAATAACTTCTAAGTCTTTTTAAACTCATTCACAGTGGTACTCCTGAACTTGGTGGACCTGATTCCGATAAATGAAGGTGTGATCATCAGTCGGTTACACACTTCTCACAGGATATCGTACCCACTCACAAAAGTTGCAAAGAGCAAGAACAGACGTTCGGGTGGGGAGTGGGAATGAAAGGGGAAACATTCTGACAGAGAGAAATGTTTACTTTTACATTTATTTCAATTCAATATGTGATTTGTATGAGATGTCCTCACAGAAATGAAAGAACCATCCAACCACCATCCAATTAAAAAGATTTTATATACACACTATGGATTAACATCTCACCTCCTCCTGCTCTCTCCTTTTCCAGCGCAGCTGAGCGTTGGCCGCCGCCATCGCCTCGATCACGAAGGTGGTGGTCATGTAGCTGGTGAGGGGAGAGAGGGATGAGCACAGGACAAAAAGAGACCGCAGGTTAGCTTATAAGGACGGATGGACAAATACAGTTAATACAGGTTGTCAGACATCAAAACTGTTCCATTATCAGAACAAATTTATGTTGGGAACTGAGTTGATTCATTTATTTTTTACAAGAGATTTATCAATTACAGTTTTATGATAAAATGCAACTTGTAAATGTGAAAAAAGGCAAGACTATTGAATGGAAACAGAAACACCAACAACAAACAAACAAACTCCTGACTGAAATATGAGGCTCTTAAGCTTCTGTGTTCACCAGCTGGTGTCAAACTGGGTCTGAACCAAGTGTCAACCCAGCCTGACGTCACCCATTGGTCTGTGAGTTGAGGGTTGAAGCCTAGAAATTGGTGTCCAACATCATCGTGGGTTTTTGAAAACAGAAGTGCACATATTTGGAGGCACGGGGGTGGAGCCTGACTGAGAGCTTAAGGACACTGCACCCCCACCTACACCTGGGACCTGCATCCATTGGATGGTACTAGCTGTCAATCACGTGGTATCCAAGCTCCAATGCATACAGGGCTTTATTGTCTACTTGACTCGAAATGGGACCATAATTTACCAAATGAACATCATGCTGTATTGAAGATATCTCTAAGATATCTATATATAATATAGATAACTAGAGATTGAGACAATAAACTCTTTGGAAAATGTTTACTGTTGTTATAAATCAAGTGAGAAGTAAAGTCATTTTCTTATTGACTGTGAAGTCGCCCTCTGCTGGTGGCACAAGAGAATACAAGTGGCATTGGTTTCACTTTCTGAACCCGGAGCATACATGCATTTTATATACAGTCTGCTCTATATACAAACTAAAAAATATTTCAGACTTTGGTCTGAGGAGGTGGGTGGGGCGTCCTCTGTGTTGCATGAAAACTGAGTTTAGGGTTGAACAGGACTCACCTCATGAATCCTAAAAATGAGATGAGTGCTATGCTGACCACCCAACCGGCTGTGGCGAAGGCTTTGGGCATCGTCAGAGCTCCGGTGCCCACGATCAGGTTGAACATATACACCAGCCCGATCTGAGGGGGGGATGGAAGGTGAAGTCTCGTAAAAATCTGACACAAAGACCACTATTTCCCTTTCTACTGCATCTCGTGTCCTAGAATTTCAAATTCCACCCACAACAAAGTTTTGCTTTTGACGCCTCACTGACTGAAATGATACCAAAACAGAATCTGATTGAATATTGTTATATTAATATCTAATGTTATTTTGTTAAAGACCAAAATCTCAAGAATAAAAGTATCCAGTGTTTCTCATCATCCTTGTTGATGAAGACAGTCATTGTGAAGGATGGCTCTTCTTACCCTGCTCAAGTAGCTGAGTCCTTTAAAGATTTAAAGCTTCCTCTGGAAAACTAGAAGTACATATATAGTCTACATACAATAGACTCAACTTATATAAGTGACAAATGGTTTGATCAGAATAGAATCCAAAAAGTGAATCTGTGAGTGTCAGTGAACAGTTGTGCCAAATATAAAAATTATTCTCTCTCGGCTTTCTACAGATAACACGTTAACGAGGTCACAGTGACCTTGACCTTTGACCACCAAAATCAAATCAGTTCCTCTTTGAGTCCAAATGAACATTTGTACCAAATTTGACGAATTTCCCTTAAGGCGGTCTTGCGAATTCGTGTTCATAAGAATGGGACAGATGGAACGACAACTTGAAAACTTAATGGGTCCGGCCACTGGCAGCCGTCAACGGAGAGATATAAAAAGTGTTTGACCAGCAGAGCATAACGTTCGTGGCAAAGTCAAGCTGACGTGAGCAAAGACAGGGACTGATGTCCAAAGGGAGTCGAGACCATAAAGAGGCCTTGCGTGTACAAAAAAAAAAGAAGTTGTGTGAGCAATTTAGTTTCCTCTTTATTTTCCACAGCACTTAAATTCCCACTAACTGCAAAAAGAGGCATTAGACCTAAGATTGTTCTTCATGCAATCTTTTCCTCTTGTCTTTTCACCAGCACATCAATCTGACTTAAGCTTCTCTTCATTGGTTTCTAGTAAATTTGAGGAATGATTTTAAGATTTTATTTTTCACATTTAAGCTTCCGTTCTGCTTTCTAAGGACTTGAGGTCAGAAAATTTCGCTGAAACTTACTTTATTAATTATTATTATTATTGTTATATTGATGTTTTATTTCTATATTTCTGGTTCTGATCATACTATTTTACTGATATTAGAAGGTTTTATTATATTTTGTGTTTATTCTTTTCTCATCTTTAACATTTTTGTCTCCACAAAGAAGGTTATGTTTTCACACCTGTCCATCAAATACTATTGAACTGATCACCATGAAACTTAGTGGGAAAAGTTGTCATTGATTTCAAAGGGTGTAAGTCATTAAATCTTGAAGAAAAAAAAATCTGATATATTTAGCTGACTGATATTTATGAGTGTGTAAAATTTGGTGCCGGTCAAATAAAAATTTATAGATCTCATGAATTAATGTGGTTTGATAAGGGGCCAGTTAAGCTTTGATGGAGGTATATGCTCCAAGTTTACTCATGTATTTCAGATCTAATCTTAAGTGATCATCTCTGAATTTCTTTAAATTATTTCCTTTTGTTTGCTTTCAATTCTTATTTTTTCCTTGTAGAGCAGCTATGAATAAAATATGAATTATCTTACATTAATTACTTACTCTTTCCAGTTCTGTCCTAGATTTAATGGTCATTGGTCTGTATTAATGAGCAGTCAATGTATTAATCTGCTCAAGATAATCATGTAGTATAGTACAATCCACTGCTCTGTAAAACTTAAAGCAAGTCCGAAGAGGAGAATACTAAAAATACATGAAAACTTAAGATCATGAGCGGCTGCAGTGTTTAAAATTTGATTTGGAAATAATATGGACATAACCTCACTATGCTCTCATACAATTAATGATCAGTTTTCATTGGATTTTGGGGGTATATGACCTGTAGACAAAATAATGACAACTCTTGTTCTGTACTGCCATAAAAAATTGTGCTTTTTAAAAAATAAAACAAGTCCAGAGGAGAATACTACAACTTCATAACTTTCATATGTCGTGTTCAAACCTTGATTTGTGGTTCAGTCCAATACATCGTCAAAGCTCCAACCTACTAATGACTTTATAGACAAAACACATTCTTTTGGTGTTATTATCTTATTTTGCAGGTTTGTTTCAATGTGTATCTGACCCCTGACATTTGTGCAATCAGAAAGAATTTAGGAATCAATCACATGATTCCGCAAGACACTCACAAAGGCAGAGTAGGGTTCCCCCGTCTCTGTAATTCCACCCGCCATGATTGATCACACAGGTCTTCACCTGAAGAAAGAAAAAACACAGTCAGGTAACTGAAGCCTGTCATATTGACTTTATTTAAAACTGATTGACTTTATCGACATTAGGGATGACACTGTTACTGGTTTCACATTGTACTGTGGTAAAATTCAGTTAGTTAGATGGTTTCAATGTTATATTTCCATGATAACAGTGGTTATTTAGTTGGTACAATAACAGCATAAACTGCTAGTGCTCATTTAATGTCACCAAATTGAGTGCTTCAAACAAACTGATATTTTGTCATGACTCTCAGAGATTCGACGTAACATAACTCCTCCACTGAGGCTCGACTCCAATTGTTTATTGTTGTTTTTTTATGTCATCAACACGTGATATGGGATTATTTCTACATATGGTTGAATTATTCCTACCTGCACATTCTCTGTTCATAATGGTTGTGTTGTTTTTATATGCACGTATGATTTACTTGAAGGTTTCATTTACACCTGCATCAGGGGGAGTTTTCAATGGAAAACAAAACGCTTCTTGAACAACTTAAAGCCTGAGTGTTGCACATTGATATGGCATTGTTGCCAAATAATTTATATTAATAACTCACATACTTAACACACATTTAAATCAAAAATTGTGTTGTTACTTCAGTTTGTGTATTAGTACTTTTTGAACATTTTCAGCACATTTGAACAATGATATCCATCACATAACATCACCTTCATCGTAAAAAGTGACATCTTAAGTAAAGTAATGTAGAAACAGTCTGTACATGACACGTAGTGGAAAAATAAGACACAAAAGACAAGAATTTGTTGCATGTTGCAGGAACTCCGATCACGAGTCATCAAATTTAATGTTTATGTTAACGTTGACCAAAAAACACACGAGATAAACATTTGATTCGACACTTTTCATACATTTTAAGACCTATTTGTCAATTCGGCATACATATGGCTCATTAATAATTCACCATATGGCGCATATTTAAATAAGGAAATGGGTTGATTGTTGGCTTGTTTAAGTATCTACACACCAGCAGTTTGAATGGGACAGAGTGAGGAAGAAAAGCTTATTTTATTTATATCATATAAAGTGTTTTAGTGGAACTAACTAGTGCAAACTTGTTTGAAACTAGTGTTTACTTGTTCAAAGTTATGTGGCTACAGATCTGGAGTCTGTTTGCTGACGGCGCAGGTTTTGGTGAAGCTGTGTCACCCACTGTAAACATGTTATTGTGATTTAATAATAAATACAAAGACATGTGTGGATCTTATCGGGGTTATTTTGAGGTTAGCCACAGTGTGCGTTCGCTGAAAACAGACAGAGACTACTTTACCTCACTGCTTCCAAGTCCAGTGTGTCTTTTTTTAATTTAGCTGCTAATCTAGCCGGGTTGCTCCAATGTTGTGAGGCGGGGATGAGCTCCTCACTCGCCGGGTAAATAACCGCAGAGTCTCGGAGCTAACATGGGCCGCTCCGGTGTGAGGAAGCCAGAGGTAAACAGTGTCTGTGTCAGCTAGCGAGGCTCCGACATTGTGCTAACAGACAGTAAACTCAGCAGGTCAGCTGACCTGAACCTGCAGCAACACGCTCACACTTCCTGCTGACACACACTTGCACTTCCGAGACGTCATTTCAAAGTAAAAGCTTTTCTCTTGCTCTTAATCGAAAGCTTTTATTATAAAGCCTCCAAACTATTTTTTTCCCTTTACGCAATTGATGCATGTTTTTTTTAAATAATCACCGTCACTATTCAGTTATCACAACAATGAAAACAGGGTGTTACCCCATGATTTCCATTATAACACTTTTATTTTGAAGTCCGCCCCTAGGCGCTACTGCCGTTGTCAAAACCTATTTCTCAGGATGTCCTGTCACGTGACCAAAGCATATGACAGGCGCACATCTGTCTGCAGCAGTTTCACTTATTCTGTTTGTCAGTGTCTGACAATCATCAGTTTGCTCGTTACATGAGTAGTTAATGGACGTCTGGAGAGATAATGATCATTTATATTTGGATTTTGGGCTCAACAGATTTGTGCCTCAGGGTCTCCACAGCTGTAAAAACCTTTGACTTTGAGCTTTTTAGGGGGAAAAATGATTTTCAACATTTGATTATGTTTATGTTGAGATATTAGTGAGCTGGTTTTGCAGTAAATTATAGACTTCATATGGAGGCGATTACGCTCACCTACTCTTTACCATCTGCTAAATATCTTTCAAGCCACACCGCATTTATGTGGGCCAAATATATCACAACAGCGAGAGTATAAAAGACAAAGTACAGATAGTCTATGATTTTAGCCAGTCTTGAGAAGCGTCCAGGCTTCCTGTCGTCTTTGACGTGTCGTCCGGTTTCCTGTCGAGCCAACTTCACTTCCTCCAGGATGAGCATCAGCAGCTCACACTCACTGGGCTTCATCACTGGACTCACCTGATCTCGCTCTGCAGAGGGGTCTGAGTGGCAAACATAATTCAACAGAATAAGTAAGCAAATTAAAAAAATAAAAATAAAAATGATGTACAGTCTAAAATGTATAGATAAATAAATTTAATTCAATGTATAAAAATGGATAATAATAGCACATAAAACACAAAACATACCTTTGTGAGAGTTGCCTTCCAGCTGAATTTCCACTTCCTGGGTATTAACATCGTTTTGGGCGTTTTTTCCACAGTAACCATCAAGCGCTAACAGGAAGTCAACCAGCATGGTCTCCAGGATGCTCAGCCCCACCAGAGTGAAAACCGACACACAGTAGCTGGCTGGGACAAACACGCACATGGTCAGTGTGCTATAGGGTGAATTCAGGTAGTGTTTTTGCTGTTTTGATTTTTTCCGATTACAGTGACATCACCTCCATGAAGTCATGTGATTTGATTTATGATTTTCATGCTAATTTATAGTAACAGTTCTTGTTGACTAGTTTTTTTTTGAGCAGGAAATAAGCAGGCTGAAGTTTAGATGTCCCACATTACCCAGATTACCCAAATTCACCCTGCAGATGGATGGATCTCTGATGTGTGTGTGTGTGTTTTGTGTGGGACAGTTTGACTTTGTGAGGACATTTTGGCTGATCCTTGCAAATTCAAAGGGCTGTTTGAAAGTTAAGACTTGGTTTTAGGGTTAGAATTAGGCTTAGGTTAGGGTTAGGGAATTAGTTTTGATGGTGAAGGTTAGGGTAAGGGACTAGGAAATGCATTACGTCAATGAGTGTCATCACAAGTTTAAAGAGCCTTGCATGTGTGTGTGTGTGTGTGTGTGTGTGTCTGTGTGTGTGACAACTGACCAATCAACGGCAGCGTGTCTTCTGTGGATGGCAGCATATCCTGAAGAATGAGCAGGAGGACGGAGATTGACAGGAGCACAGTCACTTTGAAGCTAAGTTTTTCACCCCTAATGAAGAAAGACGCCAGATCCAGGATCAGGAAGTAAAACAGAGGGATGATTAAATTTATCACATAAAGCATCGGCTTCCTCATGATGACGATCTGAAAATAAAAAATACAAATTTTAATGAATTCGTCTAGAAATCAACACAGTTGGACGATATGGAAATAATTATGTTATGAAATATCCTTACCGTGTATAGGAGCTTGCTCTCAGGTTCATAATTTTTCTCAAAAGAATAATAATTAATTGAAATGTTTAAAAGTTGCCATTCTCCCTTTGTGATCATTAACTTCTCAGAAACTAAAGAAAGAATTTTGTCACTGTTGATTGTTCCCAGAGTCATAGATTTCTCTGTGTAAAAAAACAAAAGAAATTGCATTAAATACATTCTAGAAGCTTAAAAAAAACAACCAGTTGATGTGGTTTTAATTTACCCTTGTAGCTAAGGGATGAAAATGTGATGTTACAAAGTTGTGTGTCAAAGGGGAAGAGGAAAAGATTGAACTGACAGATGGTTGTCAGCCGCTGGCGTCCGTTTGCAGTCACCCACCCACCAGGGCTCAGAGTGACCAGAGGACTGTTCTTGACGCTCCCAGTGTCAGAGGCGCTGAACAGAGGGAGAGGAAACAGAATATATTAGAAGATTCTTTTAAATCTAATATGGCTCTCACTAGGATTATAATCCCAAATGGATTATAATCTCAGTGTTTTCTCTCTT